GGCCCGGCCGAAGCGCGGCGCCTTTTCCCGCCCCCCGCTCGGTGCTCGGCGCTCGCTTCTCCGGGCGGCAACTGGAAGTGGCGCGGGGCGTTTCAGCCAGTTGCACGGCTCTCCACACGGTGGGGTCCGGGGGCCCTCCCCGGCCGCCCCCGCCAGCTCCGGGGAGACCCCGGCAGAGGGGGGCCCCTCGGGCACCGCCGCCCCCGCTGCCGCCCGCCCTGGGGTCGCGCCCCTGGGCAGAACCGGGCTTTTGAATGATGTTAGTCACCTTCGCGAGAGGAGAATTTTCCCGCTAAAAACGATTTCCTCCTTCTCCCACTTCTTGCTTGAAAAATAAATTTCAGTTAACCAGAAGGTGGAGCAATAAAACAAGAAATAAAACTCCTTAAGTTGTCTCAGCCAAGGACTGCGTTTGTCAGCAGCATTTACAACGATGCCGCTTATACTTCTTGCTCTTTTCCAGAGCCGTACAGAACAGACAGAAATGGTTGGCGAGGGACACAACGTGCACAGCATGGAAACGGCCGGCAGGAATGACTCGACACGATCCGATCAAGCATCAACACCTCAACCATGAAGCAACCGTCCTTCCACCGAGATACGTTCCTCAGCAGACTAGCAATCAAATAGAAGGAAAAAAGCGCCTTTTTCTAAGTACCAAGGCTGATTCAATTGCTATGATTGTTACAGAGAATCGCAACTTGTATTTTGGATACTTCACAACAGAACTAGCAAATCTTATGACTTGGAAGTAAGCGGCCTTAAGTGGGAATTAACTCTGTATGCAAGCGTTTCCACGCTTCTGTGGAAGGACAGGGTGTCTAGGCAGCACCAAGGCTCCAACGCGCACTTCTGTTGTTTTTAGCGTGCCTTTGCTTAAAGATGAGATGGCTGTGATGCATCTGGAGACACTGACTTCAAGGGACAAGAGATAACATTATCTAATTAAAGCCTTGCCTTTATAGAAGACCAGTCTGATCTCATGAGGTTATTTACAGTTTTTCAGGTACCTGCAGTGAATAGAGGACAAGGTTCCTTTTCCTTGTTCTCTGTTATTTCAGGTAGAAATGGGTGCCAGTGTTAACAGTAATACTTACCATAAATAATACAAATATATCTTTTTGTTCGATTGAGATTGTCAGTTTGTCCCTAAAGCCGGTTTTGTCATGCTTCTCATTGATGTCAGCAGAGCAATCCACTTAGGAAGCCAGATTCTCTTTCACAAGTTAAAAAGAAGAGCTTTCGAACTATGGAAGTGTGGATATCGCTGCTTAAAGACAGCTGAAGTACTTTTAGCGTGTGATTTTTATTATTCACGTACAAATCTGGATAAATATTTAACCAACTCAGTACGTACACTTAGATGGGGGATGTTCAGTGCTTTTGAGATCACTGATTACTGCTTGCCATGGGCTCTTCACCCACAGTGGGAACTTTCATTGCTCTGTAGCCTGCAGAACTCTCCGGTGGGTCAGAGGGTTAAAGCTGCAGAAACACAATATGCAGATTTTCTTGGCTCAGCATTATTTAAAATTAAACAGAATATAAAGATGTTGTCAAAGTCATTTATGTTATGTAAATCATGTGAAAGCAGAATGTGTGTATTGGAAATAGTTATGTTTGTTTATTCATTTAAAACATCAGCTGTACTTCATGTTTATTTTTTTATGCCAAATTCCTTACATTTCACTGCAGAACTTAATTATCTTTAGATGGGAGTTGTTAAAAGTACTTCATCAGGCTGGCTACCTACAGCAATTCCTTACAAAGTGAAAATAAACATCAACAGTAAGCACCCTCATTTTTATACGTGGGTTGTCAGACAGTTAATTAGTACTTAATGAAAGATAGGTTCCAATTTGGTTTTCACAGTCTTTCAGACTTGCTTTTTTTTTTTTTTTTTTTAAAAATTTAAACCCCCTTTAAAAATTGTAACTCTACGGGAACTTAGTGACCCCTCCAGAGTTCCTTTGTGCCCTAAGTTTTACTTCAAAGGCTCATAGTGGTAGTACTTACCCAGAGGCCATGTTTAATTACATTGTGTTGAATTAACATAGTCTAAATGACAATCTAGAGATCAAGCCTAGTTTGTGGTGGTTTTTTTTCACATTTTTTGAGTTTTTTTTTTTTTTTTTTTTTTTAAACAATTCAAGCCCAGTTAAAACTGTGACTCTACAGGTAGACTTAGTGAACTTTCACCGTCACAGGGAACGCAGAAATGGCAACACACCAGTCGCAACAGGTGCATCATGTCCTTAGTCCTGGCTGTTTCCTCAGAGACACTGAGAAAAACAAGATTTTGAAAATGGTAACTGTTTCCATTTTATTTTTTCTGTGTTGCCAAAAAAACTACTAATGCTGGACTTCAATACGTCAAAATATCACATATGAAATAATTTTTTCACAGCTACTTGGCTTGCACTTTGCTTTGATGTTTGTTTTACCCATGATGCAATTGTTTTTGCCTTCTGTCTCCTGTTGCTACAATAAGCCATTTCCCATACATGTCATCTCCAAAGGGGAAAAGACCGCATGGAAACAGAACAAAGAAAACAGAACAAAAGAAAATCAGGGATTTTTCCAAAGGCCCATTTGATGTACAAGTATAAACAGGAAAAAGATGCCTGAGGAGGTGGGAGCCAGGAACTGTACGAGCAGACAGCTGTTAACTTGTGTAGTTAGCAGCACTTTGGGATTCTGAATGGTAAATAAATACGTGATTCCAACGCACCCAGTGAAGAAAATGCTCCCTTCAGTACCTTTAGTGTAATGTTTAAGTGTATGGCAAACTCCTAGCAATGTAAGTTGAACTCTTACCTTCATGTCTGTCTTGTAACGCCAAGTCCAGCTATCAATAGCTCTTTTTGTTCTAGCCCCAGAAAAGGCAATACCTCAAGATACCAGAATAAAAAGTATCGTCTGCTGTGATGAAGCAACAAAAAATAAGGAACACTTCACAACACAACTCGGCAATTCATATGTGAGGCTAGATTTTAAAAAGCCCAACGCGTTGCTCCTGGATCTTATTAAATATTTGTTAAAAAATTTCAAATGGGAATTGCTCAAAAATAAACTTTAAAATTCAAGTTCCTGTGGTTAGGTCTTAAGTATTCACGAATCTGGACTACAGTGTTTTTACATTCTTAATTAGTTTTTTTCTAAAGTGAGAGAAGCAAGGTTTTAAAGACTGACTTACTATCCGAAATAATCTCTGATGAGCTAACAGTCCTGCTTCTTCCCAATGCAAGTTTTTAATGTCACATTTAATTTACTGTAAGTATGCTTGGGATAGAGGAACTGATCTGCCCGCACAGTGGAGCCTGGTTTACTTACTACCTTGGGTAGAGTATGGGGGGCAGGGAAACAAGTATTTACATACCAAAACAGAAAGCAAAAGGCATGTTATGGAAAAAAATTGCTACTAAGGAGATAATACCCAACTCACTGCATAGCAAATACAACGCCAGCATTTTCTCTCAGGAAGAGGGAAAATGTATTTTTCAACTTTGTATTTCCTCTGCTGTTCTCTAGTCTATTTTTTTCACCCCTAATTTCTGTTTTTCCTTCAGATCCTTACTTCTTTTGTCTGAGCCCTTATTCTTTGTAACGCTTCTCTTAAAACATCCCTCACTCTGTTCTTGGAATCTGTGTAGGACTCTCTCCTGTTCCCCTTGACGACAATGTGTTTTGCTTCAACAGAAGCAAACTGTTTTTCTGTTTCACGTGCTCCCTGTTTACCAGGGCATCTAATCACTGCAGTTATCATCACTGCTCATTCCAAGCCCTGTTTTGTCAGACTGAGCCTTCTTTTCCTGAAGAGAAAGTGGCCTCTTATTTACAAACCATCATATCACTGCCAAAATTTCCTGTGCTGTATCCACTTAACTCTATTTTCTGTTAATTTCTGCCCATTACAAATTCACATCAGTCCTAGCTGACATTTAGTTTGTGTCCAAATCCTGAGCAAAGTGAGCAAGAAGTAGTTTGACATAAGTTCTCAATAAATAGCCACATTAAACGGAGAGGTCACATTAAATAGACAGGAACAAGGCCTCCAGAAGTTAACACTATAATTAGATTTGTAAAGCGTATTGTATAAATAAGTACAAAATTCTGTAAGATGTGGTCCTGTCCTTTATTATCTGTATTTTTTAAGTAGTAAGAGGAGATGGTGAATTAGGGTATG